AAAAAAAAAAAAAAAAAAAAAAAAAAAAATTCCACAATCTCTTCTTCCGGGCCGAGAGACAGATTCAAGAAGGAGTGAATAGAAGTAGGAACAATGGTAGAGAAAAAGTACACAAAATAAATAGAATGGCACAAATGCACATAGGATGGAATAGAGGCTGTGATGGCACGTCGTATGCGCAGTGGAAAGAGAGTAGAAAGAAAGAAAACATACAGCTAGAGTTGTACTTACTCCGCGGATCGATTTAAAAAATAGTTTACTATATCTGAGCGTGACGAGTGATTTTCTTTTATGGGAAAAAAAGATAAGAATTTATGGTAATTCATAGAAATTTTACGAATAGTAAGTGTACGTGACATTTTCGTGCCGCGATAAGATATAATTAAACGAACAAAATTCTAAATTTAATAACTAGTAAATATAATGACGTTCGAGATTAAAATATTAGATCGAAAGTGAATAAATTATTTATGGCTTTTAATACTTTAGTAAAATATTGCATTCAGTTATTTCGGCATTTGAAAATAGTCTACTAATAATATGGAAAACATTTATTTCAATAATACGGAATCTCAAGAATTCAAATGCTAAAGAAACACGTATGTATAATTTTCAGAATATTAACATTCTTTTACTATAAAACTATGCCGCGTTATAAGGACGATTTATTCCAGTAAATTCATTCGTTATCTTAAGCCCAAATATGATTGCTATTATGTTAACTAATATTTAAAACGATAATGTATCGGGATTGATAAGAATAGATAAGAATTAAATTTTTATGCCAATTTACACGAAAATAGAATAAAAAATCGGAAGAAAAAAATAGGCTAGAGATAGTGAAATAGCTAGATAGATAGATAGACGTAAGAAAGTAAAGAGAGAGAGAGAGAGAGGGACGATAAAGTACGAAGCAATGTATCAATAGTCTCTTTTATCAAAGTTCTTCAGGACCGCGTCCTCTTATTTTTACATGAATGGATAGTGGTGTCAGGTTTGCTAGCGTTGACTCACTTTCCTCCTTCGAGTTCATCTCTTCTTGCCAAGTTCACTCTTACTGAATATCACTGAACAACGACGACAGATGGTCCTCAGTGGCGAGCCTGAATTTTTCTTCTCTTCTCCAGAATGTTGCGACTCTTCCATCGACACAAACTACAGGACGCGACTGTCACAATTTGCTTTTCGTTTTGGCACCGAATTCTGCTGACGTGCGGTTCCTTATTCCCCGGAACATACACACACGCGCGCGCAAACACACACACACTCACTTACGCAGCCATATGTTCAAAGTTATTATTTTGAGCCCACGCGTTTTGAATAAGATATGTGTGTGTATGTGTAAAATATTTAGATCTTTAGATACAAAATAATTACTTTGATTAGCCATTTTTATTTATTTATTTATTTTTACTTCAAAAAATTTTGAAATACAAATAAATACTAAGGAATTGTTGATATCGGTGAATATGATATTCAGTGGAAAATAAAGCACAGCTTGAAATATCACAAATAATAGTGCTTAGCATAAACAAAATTTTATTATTAAAAGAACAATTTATTTGTCTCTTATCAGTGAGCTTTTGAAATTTGAATTCTTTCTCGCTAGCATACTATATATATATATATATATATATATATGTATATACGAAGCTTTTGTTCGTCAATGTAGCCAATAAACTTCCAAGGGACTTTGTCCATCGACAATGAAAGCTCGAGTTTCAAGAACTCAACTGCGATGCATTGTATTACGCTAGTTATACGGTAGTTTGCAAAAAAAAAAAAAAAAAAAAAAAAAAAAAAAAAAAAATCCAATGTTACGATAAGTGTATAATTGTTATAAGTATTATTTATGGAATTTACTTTGAGAATGATGAAATGATTCTAGACCACAAAAACTTTAGTAATTCGTTATTCTTAGATGATATTTTTTCGGTAAATAGACAAAAAAAGTCATTGATACTTTAAATAAAGATATTATTTCAAATTGTTAGTGATGAATGTACTGGTCATAATATTTTTTTTTATGTAATATATAAAACTAGTTGTTAACAATACTTTTTCGATGCTCGTTCCCATTAAAATTTCGGGCTTATTATTACGATGACAATGGTATTTTCATTATACCAAGTATTTTAACCTCAGCTTTCTAAAAGTTCTCTAAGCAGTCATAACGTCAAGTCATGTCAGATGTAAAAGGATTAACAAAAAACAAAACAAAAAAAAAAACAAAAAAAAAAACATCACGAAATATAAGAATAATTATCTTTAAACATAAATATTATTTTGAGGTTCATTGTGTGGTAATTGTTAACTATAACTATAATTGTTAAATATAGTTAACGGATAAGTATATAATTGTCGGATAAGTTGTTATTCTTTGAGAGTGTAGGATTTAAGATTTTTCAATAAATAAAGACAAGCATAGTAAGGAATATATTCACATACGGAGATTTCGACAATACATCCAATAAAATGAACGATGAATGAATGATACGTCGATACATTCATCCACGAGCACACATTGATCCACATAATTTCAAATATTATCCAAATAATTTCCAAACATTCGTCTGTATTTGCGTGCGAGTGATACTTACCACCGCACAACCTCGCACGTGAGAAAAATTCTCAAGCGAGAGGTGTACTCACCAGATTCCTGAGGACATCGTCGGGCACGTTACTGGACGAGTTGCAAAGTGCTCTTGCGGCACTGTGAGAGAAAACAACCGGCGCCGTGGAGACGATGAGGGCGTCGCGCATCGTCCTCACGGACACGTGAGATAGATCGACAAGCATCCCCAGACGGTTCAGCTCACGAACCACCGCCTTCCCGAAACTCGTCAGTCCGTCGCTGTAGAAACCCAGGGTGACGAGGTCCTTATCCGGATCGTCGGCGATTGCCGAGTCAGCCCTGCATTGGGAAAAGAATTTTTATCTTGATGATGAGGATCTTGATTCGAGACGAGTGGCTTTACTATTAAGAATTTCATATAACCTCATACTGAACATCGACTGATAATGTCAATTTTGCTAATACCTTAAAGCAACGATATGATATCAATTTCGAATTCGTAGACAAATACAATTGACACGAAATGCGTAAGAGAATTTCTAATGTTTCTCAATCTAGTAATACACAATTTTTATTAAAAATACAAATGCAATGTCATTTGAAATTAATTTATATAATTATATTGAATATTGTTTCGATATCAGCGTGCTTTGGAATAAAATTCATACTGTCACGTGTAATAATATCGCATAAGAATTTGAAATACGAAAGGGAATTTTTTATTCTAAATAATCGATTTATTATAGTAAATAAAGCGGAAGGAGAACTTGAGTTAATAGTTAAATAATTATTTTCTCACTTTTCTAGACTTTCATTTACATTGTAATATCAAAGAAAAGATTGCCGTTCCAGTGTGGTGCCAAGCAGTTATGGTAAAGGTCAAAACGAATGTCGATAGTCTATTGACCTTCAAAACAAAAACTGAGAAACATATATATTCGAATCTACGTAATTAAATGTAAGAAATTTTTAAACATAAGCGAATGTATAATAATTATCGCTTGAATCTGACTAACAATTAAATAAGAACATTTCGAGAGAATAATCCCATTTTATTTTATTTTTTTTTTTTTTTTTTTTTTTTCTTCCCCCCCCCCCCATTCACATCGTATAAAAGCTGTAAATTATTGTAAGTTGCGTAGTTTAAGTTGATGGAAAAAAATATTATATAAATCTTTTATAATGCATTTGATAAATAGACGGTATGTGCTTTATACGAAACTAGCTTAAATAGAGTAAAAGTACTTGGCGATACGTACGGGCTTCAAAATTACAGTTAATATTATAAATGAAAAGGAAGAACTTAATTTTGTAAGAAAGCGCACTAAAAGACATTTTAAAGCTATTCTGCGTTGCATGAATTGCATTGTAAAAATTTTCCTTTCCATTCTTGCACTTGTGATCCCAGACTAATTTAAACGTTTCACCTCTATTTCTATTTGCCTCGTCTACTCTATGTTCGTAAAACTACTCTCGTGAGATTTGCTTCAAGGGCCATTTCAGATGACGAAGAGAACAATTTTGGCAAATTTAAAAGGAAAAAAAACAAAAAAACAAAAGAAAGAAAGAAAAAAAGAAGAGGGTCTGAATTTCAACACATTTCTCGTTACTTTGAAAGTCCATGTGACATAATAAATTACACTTTTTGAATATTTATTAGAGCTAGTTATGAAATAAATGCTGCTCGCCCTTAACGACGATGAAACTTCGTGCATACCGAAATCAGTAGCTCGTTTTTAAAATGTAATTAATTAATTTTAAATGTTAATTTAATGCCTGTCGGACGGTAAGAGTCAAACAGTTGGCATTAAATTCACATACGACTTGTGAGAAAAGAAATTTGCTTATACATTGCCGTTTCATTTTACATTTTCGATAATATTTTATGAAAATTAAAATCATCCCCTAGTCTCCCGCGGGATCCGCTTTCCCACCTATTATTGTTTCGTTAATGTAGAGAGCACGAGAGCCTCTCTCATAAATAGCGTTTAAAAAAAACTCATAAAGTGAAAATCTTAAAGAATTTCATTCGGTAGAAATGGCAAATGAAAAGAATTCAACGTCTGCGAGGACTTTTCGATCGACGGATCACCCGATCTCGGGTTTTCTATGGCTTTAACTACGTCGTTGGCCAGTCGCCAGATCCAAGTTGGCCTAGATATTGTCAATCCCCTTTTTTCTCTTCTTCCCCCGTTCTCCTGGCACGGGATTCTCGTACGTATCGAAACGAAGAAGAAGAAGAAGAAGAAGAATAAGAAAAAATAAAGAAAAAAAAATAATAGAAAGTTGCCTAGTTAATTGTAACGTTGAAAAGTTATGGAAATTAAAATAAAGCAGCCAAAAACCAGTGGTGATCCTAATGTTTACATTAATCAATTAAATATTATGCAAAATATAAAAAGATACGATAGTTATTGAATTTTCCAACCTGTCAATGTAAAATATTTTAAGAGAAAAAAAAAATCTTCAAATGCAAAATTTAATGCAATCTTTAGAAACTGCTGACGACGTTGCAATATACATACATAAGAATTTTTGCAATCACAAGCATGTAAAGCACATTCTCAGAAATGAAAGAAATTTGAGGGGAGGGGGGGGAGGGGGGAGGAAAAAAACAAAGAAGAATCGAAGATATTCGATAGAAGCACGTAGGAATATTTGTTACTTTAAAATAATTATGCACTATGCATATTTTATGCAATGTATTCTTAATCAATAATATAAAGTTACAACTACCAGCGTATTAATATTCGTGAATATGTAAAGGTAATTTTACTTGCAAATATTTATTGATCGGGAATTGTCGATAAAATGATCGAATATACTATTTATCGTTATAAAAACGTTGATATGCCTCTATTGCAATCGGTATATCGCATTCGTTTTCAATGTTGCCAAAGCTCGAACGTTGCAAAATATCTATGGATAGCTAATTAATAACGAAGGTAAAAATAATGTTTTGTATGGTTGCGATAATTTCAAGAGCCGAGCGCGCTACACGTTGTCAATTACTATTTCTATTAACATGGAGTTTACAAGAGCGGAGAATATTTGATTATGCAATACGCTTGCAATAGCGCATGGAGGGAGGAGGCCGGTTTGTGCAATTGGCGTTTTGCCTTGTGGAATACGAATATGCTCACAGCCATCCGAAATTGAATACTAAATTTGTACGTACAGTGAAGCTGATACAGTTCTGATTATTATTAATCTAATATTGTGCGAAAGACGAGCTTAAGAATTAACATTGATAATCAATTATTTTATGAATTAGCATTAGTGGGAATGTGACGGGGCTCTTTATGATTATTATAATCATGTTCATCCGTTCCTACAATCCAATTAATAATCTCGACATAGTTTTGGTAAAATCTTCTCATTTTTAAATTCACTTACAACTAGCCAATATACGAATATACATACGAACTTATATACATTTACAAATTCCGAGCTTTAACCCACCCCCCCCCCCTCCCTCCCTCCCTCCCACCCAAGCCAATCTAATGTCTGTAAAATCAACAAAACTAATTTGAAAATTAAGTCCCAACACCCGATCCTATGCGGGAGTAAATGAAATTTTATAATACGAGATCGCGAGCTTTTATTATTATGACTGCTTAAACTATGTCTTTTTTTTTCTTTTTTCTTTTTTGTTTTTTGTTTTTTGTTAAAGTAAAAGTTTTAAAAGCATTTTCAGACACTCTTGAAGTCAAATTCTCCAATATTGACAGTTATAACTTTTTCAAGCACTACAATTAGCAAGAGCATACCAAACGTTTTAAAACTTTAAAACTTTTCTATTCAACTTTTTTAAAACAATGTCTTGGGGTTGTTTAAATCTTCTTAACATTTTTCAAAAAAACTTCTCATTATGAAGTATAAATTTTATAAGAAATAATATTTATTATGAAAAATAATATCCCTTTAATATTACAATATAACTGCATATACAACTGTATATACTTATTTATTTATTTATTTATATGTCTCTTAGAAACTCAACTATATTATTTCAACAAAAAAAAACCATAATAACGTTCAAAGTTATTTTGACAATTACTCGTTAATGTCTTGTTATAATTCTTTAGATAAATAAAATTCTTCCAGCATTCATTTTAGTAGAAAAGAAAATTTTTTATATTCAACGTATATTATTATTATTATTATTATTATTATTATTATTATTATTATTATTATTTATAACAATGTATGTACGCATGTATATAAATATTTAATGGAAATATTTAAACTAATTATAACAAAAAATTAACATAAAATTATCATAAATTTAGTTAAAGATAAAAGTGTACAATCTGCAATTTGCATAAACAAATTCATTGGATTTATAAAGTAATTGACGAGTCTCATATCCAAATCTGCATTCTTATATTTTATATTAAGTCGAAATTAATCAGACGATTTAAACTTATAGCAACTTACTATCCTAAAATTGATGTAGTAATAAATTGAATAGAATTTGGTAAAATGTAAATATTTGAAAATTTAATACATGTTTAATTATCGATCTTTTCTCAACAATGATTAAAATTTTAATGGTTGAAAATTATATTATACATTTTATTATCAATTTCAATTTATAATTTCAATTCATAATTCATTATCAATAAATTCATCATTGACAAATTATTCATGATTTTCATAAAAATAGTAATTATAGTGGATTTGAAAATGCATTGAATAATTTCTATATTTTATATTAAGTATTCATTACCTGACAGAGAATGATTTTTTTTTTTTTTTTTTTTTTTTTTTTTTATCAATCCCCATAAGGAATAACATCGTTTCACCATTTAGGCCGAGAAATAGTCAATATTGAAAATTAACTTATCGATTTGTGCATTATCATTTAAAATAATAAATACTTAGTTGACAATGTAATTTTATGACATAAGGAATGAAATTTCACTTTGTCTCTAATAACGATAAGATAGTATTTTACTAAGTTAATTTTTGAAAACGCTTTGAATGAAGCTGTTTAAGGAAGATTAAGGCTCGAATGTAATAATAATGCTTTTAGAAAGAGTAAGAATAATCGTTGGTAATATGTAAAATTAGCTGAAACGAGCGTCTTTACAAAAATTCGTCCAATTATTGATTGACGTAAAAGCGTATTTGTAAAAGCGCTCCTTTGAAACTCATTTTCAGCTTTTCTAATATACTACCTATTTTAAGTAAGACGCTACGAATTTTATGATTCATAAACGAAAATTGAAATTTAAAATGAATCGTGAACTAAAGAAGCTTCAGTTTGGCGTATTGCGCACGTCCGTATAAATCTGCCAATACACACGTAAAATACGATAATATTTTATTTATAATAATTCTCTAATAATCGGCTGGACGTTAAATCGCCTAGGATTATGTATGTAGATATTATTAGTCGGTGGGTAGAGTACAGAGGGAGATTATTATAGTACAGCATAAGGCATAAAATACAAGCTCGGCTTATGAAAATTTCAGGTTTTCCAACATTAGGCGAGGCCGTCAAGAAATGATGTGGGATCGCAGGCATTGGAGAGGTGCGCAAAAAGTCCTTGGCAGAGGAGTATAATTACCAGGGCGTGTTGCACTTGTGGGTCAGAGTCATGTACCTCGCACCGAGGTGGTGGAAGCTCCTCAGCACAGCCATACTCGCGCCGATGCTGTGGCCGCCCTCGATGCCGACGAGGCTCGCCAGTACTCCGTCCCTATGGGCCTGCTCGAGCTCCTCGCTCGACGTCACCAGTCTCATTTTCTCGGCGTACTTGGCCGCGAGCCTCCGTACCACGTCGATCTGCTCGAGGGTGAGCTTGACCGCGTCGAGGAACTGTGCCTCGCACGGCACATAGGCTGACCAGAATTGCGCCCCGACAATGCCGCGGCGCAGCCGGATCAGGTCGGTCTGCCAGCCTGGGCCCCAGGATACGTTCTTCGAAAGGTCCTCGTCGAACGGGAAGTCCCGCAGTCGCGTGCTACCACGCTGCTTGCGTAGGTTCCACGCCAGGTTGTTGTGCCTGCGAACGTGAGCGTTGCTCTGTAACTATCACACCGACTGTCAGCTCTACGCTGTGTTTCTTCTTTTTCTTTCTCTATCTGTTCTGCTTTTTTTCTCGTTTTTTTTTGTTTTTTTTTTGTTTTTGTTTTTGTTTTGCCGGGTTAATCGGAATTAACGTTGGTCTATATTTTCCCGAAATGGGCGCGTCGGTAGTCTAAGTAGACTTGGAGAGACCACGTAACCAACAACTTTGCCACTACGCGTAACTACTATCATCCTAAATACTGCCTTACCGAGACAAAGGATATTTCCATTTGAAATTCACTGTTTTTTCACATTGAGCTAGTCAGCATGACATTTACATACAATTGGATTCTTCAAAAGTATTTATATATCGACATTGCGAGCTCATTGTTTACAATTACTTATTACACTTGGAATTATCTTTAGTATCGCGCAATATGCTTTATGAATTTGCGGTTAAATTCTTACCGATGCCATAATACGCAAATGTAAGATCTTAATCTGCATTTTATAATCGATATTTCTTTCATAAGCAATTAAAAGTACTCGATTATACATAAATGGCATTCGATTATATTAATGGCGATCAATTATGTATGCGGTAAAATAAATTTCATTTGCAGATGAAATTTAATTTTAGAGACAATAATGGCCATTTAATTGATACGCTAAAAATAAATTTGTCCACATATATTGTCATATCTTTGTAAAAAAGCTCGATATTTTGTATTATTCATTAGTTAAAAGCAGGTGGAACGCTTATTCGGTTCATGCTAGTTGCGCTTCTGCTTATAATTCACGGGAGAGCAGAACTTTTATAAGGTAAATATTTTTATTTTGAAAAGAGAGAAGATTTACTAAATCGGACGAATAAGTACATGGATTTAGCCTTATCCAATGATTTATATTTTACATACAAAATCCTATAAATCACCAACATGTGCTCATCTACGAGGATTTTTTTCCTCTCTTGCACTTTTAGGCTAATAGCGCCAGAATTTTTATGATCATTATAAGTTAAAGCTCGATAGTTAATTGAAATATCTAAAATTTATAAAAAAAAAAATATATATATATATATACATATACATATACGTATAATAAAAATGTGAATAATGAAATATGAAGAAATATTTGATTAATGAATCTTGACATTTATAAAGTAATTTTTTAATTCACCTATCAATTAGAAGTACAATCCGTGACATCGACACACGATTTGTTTTTTTTTTTTATTATTTAAATCCATTTAAATCTTATTTATTCTTATGTAAGTGTCAATTGTTATTTAATTTCATTGATTCCTCAACACGTATGCTTAAAAATATAATTAAACAAAATCTTGAAAATAAAATATAAGTTCGAAATTGTGAAATTGCTTTAAATATTTTTAATAATCATTGATTCATTTTCGAATTTATTTTAATGCAACAAGCCAACCTTAGTGCAACAGCCATATCTAATCATATTGGAATATGAAAACATTACTTCCAGGCATTTTTGAAGGGTATTCACGTAAAACTCAGGAACTTTAGGAAATAATATAAATGTTAGAAGTACAGTCACAAATGACATACAATATATTTTATAAACAAAGCCAATTATAATTTATTTTTCTATGAATATCGAAGGTTATTTATTATTGGATCGTACAAAATATAAAATCTACTGTTGATGCTTTCAAGCTCGTTTAACCGATCATTAAAGCGGAGTAATTTTTTTATTACCACAGAATGAATTCACTACTAATTTTTTTAATTATGCGAATAATTTCGTATATTCATGATACAATAATAATTGAGCGCATTACAATAAAAAGCATATTGATTTGAAATTAATATATGCATATTCGATAATACAAAAGTCACCTAAAATAACATGTGATTATAATAAAAACTCATTCATATATAATACCCATCGATCTATAAATCAAATAATAAAAAAGAAAAGAAACAATACATTGTTATAATAATTTCGGTATTATGCGTTAACTTGAATATTACATTTTGTTAAAATATTAAAATTTTTTGATAATTCGTTATAAAGAAATCCTCTTTATTGTACAATTATAATATACATATTTATCGTTCTAAATTTTACCTTTAGCCCTTTAATTAAAATTGTTACTATTATTTTATAACATAACATTAAACTAAGATGTAGTAAAATATCGAATATATGTGTGGAAAATTTTATTGAACATATATATAGAGCAAATGGATAAACGTTGTTGGTTTTAAAAAATTTAAACGCTATCATGCAAATGGATTTATTTAATTAAAGCAAATATTTATAATCATGTGTAAAATTATGGAGAATGTTTTTATATTACAACTCATTATATATTTATGTTACAAATGAATTTAATGACATTACTTTTTTATAGTTATTACTTAAAACTTTCATTTCGATATATCGAAGCTACAATATTTGTGTATGATTAACTAATAAAAATGTTTAAAAGCTTATGACCATGAAAAATTGCACATTCTTTATACATTTATCTATATTTTTTAAAATATATTCAATTTTAATAATAAAAAGTAATAGAATATTGATGAGTTAGTAGACTAATACGTGTAATAGAGAAATAGTAAACCAAAGCTTTTATTAGATACATTTCGTAAGATAAAAGCTTATTGTGAATATTTTTAATATTTTTTATCTACTCGTGTGAACTCTGTAGATGTTTTATCCGATTATTAAAGTAAGATATAAATCATTTATTATATAAATATTTTATATGTGATACAATCACAATACTGTCATCTATATTTTCTGTAACTTTAACTATTATTATATTTAAAAAAAACTTCGTTTAAGCTTTTCCTACTCTAACCTATAAACGTTAGGTATTTGCGTTTACATTATGTGCAGTGATGTAACGTTAGATTTACAAGCATCTTACATCTTACATCTGAGAATAATATTCGTGATTTAGCTAAAAAACTCAGAGTAAAAATTAATAAAATGAATATATTTATTCATCGTCGTTTATCCCTAATAATCATATGAAACAAGCTAATATTTTGATAAGTATGATATATTGAAACAACGAATTACAAAAACATCTTTTAATACGTGAATATTGAATTTTCAAACATTCTCAATTTTATACATATAATTTTCTCAATAATCTTGTTATAATATAAATTTCCAAAAGCAGTAGCTAACAATTATAAATCATTGAGAAACAGATAGAATAATAACGAATATCCATTGTACGTGCGCTGATAAATGCGAAAATACATCGACTGATGCAAGTGGAAGATTTTAGAAAAACTCATAAATTTCTCAATATCCGATGGCTGCATTAACTTTATATTACATATGCATCTTAGATTTAGGAATGAGGTCAGCTAAACTGAATAAAATTTTTATTTCGATAATTATGATAATTTTCGTTAAATGTAAGGGAAAAAATAATCGTTACACTGGAGCTAAATAGTCAACGATACGAAAGCCACTGTAGCTTGTAATTAAAATTTATTCTCCATAAGTACGGTATGGTTAGTATCGTAATTAATATATAATAAGAATATTATCAATGTTTATTTATTCAAAAGCTAAAGGAATTAATTTGGCCATTTTTTTTTTTCATTATTTAAACATTCGTGTATATAAACTTTGGATATTTTGTATTTTATGCTGTTTTGGATTTTAATTTCATTTTCATAAAATATAACTAGAGCAGAAAAAAAATTGTTAATTAAAAGACATAGCTTGTAGTATTATTTATATATTCACTTTTATGCAAGTTCCTTGAATTAAATATAACATTAAGTTTCTATCTCGCGAGCTTTCTATTTATCTCTTACATTTACATTTACGAACATTGTAATACGATTATGTAATGTCGAATATTTTTACTACATCATATCGTATAAAAATGAAAAATTTCCTTTTCCTCTTTTTTCAAGCGCTTTATAATATAAATTTGTTAAAAGTGCATAATGAATCTATAAATTTTTTGTTTCTTTTCTACTTATGATTATTATTACAGTCAATAGGATTTCCCCTCAATTTATAAATAGTTTTATGTTTATTAGATTATTTAATTCAAAGATTATCATTTATATATGTAGTAAATATGAATTATTATTATACGATATTATGTACGCAGAAACTTATTCTCAGAATATTAAGTCTCATCTTTCATGTAATTTTCAAGTAGAGAGAACTGTATAATTAAATTATATTTCGCGATTATACAAGTTCACTCGTTAAATTTACGTGATTAACTTAAATGTGGAATGGTAAGAAGCTAAGATTATCTAAGAATTTTTCTGCAAAAGTACAGGGCAATAGGAAATTGAGAGATAATTATAGTTTCTTTCATATTTCGAAAGTGTTAACATGTGTAAAGTATTTCTATACACCGGTAATGTATTATCAAATAAATAAATAATCGATTTTCTCTCATGAATATATCAAATTAGTAGCAATTATTAGAATAATAAGCTCAGAATACATTTATTGAAAGTATTAAATGTATGTATGGATAGAAAAAATTATATTTGTTTTATACAACTACATAACAACAAGTTAGAATAGTACTGTTTTTTTTTTTTTTTTTTTTTTAATTATTCACTGAACTACGTATGACAAAATCTATTATTTTATAATATAAGATAAAAAGAGAATTTTGTTCTATTGATTATCTAAGACTAAAAAAGTTTCAAAAATTTATTATATAAAGCAAAATTATTTACATTTTTATCTTTATTTATATATATATATATATATATATATATATATATATATATAAGTAAATTTTATATTGTCACTTATCATACTCACATAACTATTTATGTGTCTAGATCTATAATAACAAATTTATCGAAAGTTCAAATTCAAAAATAAAAATATTAACTACTGTACGTAAAAAAAAAGTGCTTCTAATGGTCATATGGAAAAAGAAAATTACTACAATGACGGTTGCATAATCCACGAAATATGAAAAAAAAAAAAAGCAATAATTACCGAATAATAATAATATAATCACCGTAATACGAATGGATTTCATAGTGAAGTAAGTATGTCGAATAGGAGAATATATATTATTTTCTTTTTTTTGTAACGCTGACAAATGCATAGATTACGTAAAGGAAAAAATAAAATGGCACATGTATCCACGTGTCTTTATCGCAATGCTTTTGCACTTTGGTTCGCGTAAAAGCATTCTTTTATCGGACGAGGGAAAGGGGAGCGCGTCACTCGCTCTAAAAATTCCACTCTTCGTCTAAAGTGCGCATTCGAGGAAAAAGTCTTAAGAGCAGATTAAGGAAAGCGTAAGCATCGCTACACTACCAAGCAAATATGTAGGCAGACATGAAACGTTGCATAAGAGAAAATGGAATTTACCCGTCGATGAGAGGCGTCTTGGATAGGATTTTCCTCACAACTCGCAGCCTCGCCTCCAGTAGGTTAGAACTTCGCAGCTCCAAGGCCAAAGGCAATCCGATACCGGCGATTAAGGCACAGACCAATAGGAAGAGACCGATCGTCAGGACCCAGCTTCGTCCTGCTTTGCGCTTTGCTGGAACAATTGGCCCGGAGTCCCGGTTTAGCTTAGTGTAGTACAGGGGACTTTCTTTACCTCTCCTCAATCACATTCGAATCTACGTCCACTGGCATTGGCATGTAAGATGTCAAGTCATTCGGGCCGTTTGCCTCGATAATTGAGCCAGCGCGTTACTTTTACCCTATTTTTCCAACGTGTAGGATTCGATTGAACATCGTCTTCTTCTTCCCCCCCCCCCTCCGTATAGTGGAAATTTATCACGCTGACCAAAAAAAAAGTAATAGTGATGGTACGCGTCATACTTCAAGATATAGTGATATTAGGTGGGTCCCACGATTATTTGCAATTCAGTGGTTTATGTGGCTATGCATATTCATTTCTATAAATAATTTCGAATATTGTTAATTTTCTAAGTAGCAGTTATTTACCGATAAAAATCATTCAATCATTAACCAACAGGAGGTAATATTATGAAATTTAATAAATTTTTCGAATATTCAATCTTTCGTGCATTATTCTGGCACTATATTGTATCTGAAAAGCAACTCCACTAGATCGTAATATCAAGTTTATAATTCTACTACGAGCAATAAAATCCAATGTTTTGAGTTTTATCAATAGAGAGAATAAATTGGCCAATTATATGCTTATTTTCGATTTCAGAAAATCGATAAAAATATTTGAATATAAGAGCACAATCTCCCTTTTGATTTTTATTTATTTAGATCATCGGTTTTATTAGACGGCTGTGTTTGTAGAGAAAAACCATGATAAAACACTGATTTTATATAAAAATGAATTTTACTTAATATCTTAAATTCCAAAATATTTATGGCTCTCAATAAAAATTGTCTAGGAAGTCGACTTAAGGAATTTACCACGACTAATTCTATTTTAAATTAATATTATTGCTCGACTAGTTCTTATTAATACAAAATATTTCAACTATGTGGAAAAATATTTATGCAAATATGCAAAAGGATTATATGTTTGAATACTTTGTATCAAATAATATTTTATTCGCAAGAGGGGAAAGTTAATATAAATGTTGAGATAGAGAGAGAGAGAGAGAGAGAGAGGCATAAAATTATTTCATGATATAATTATTTCGCAATTTTAGAAATTGTAAGCATTTTACAGTATAATATGCAGACAGAAACTTTAAATGAATAAAATTCACATGTCAGATATACTATTCATTATTTTCTCATTTAGCTTTGTAATTTTAATATGTATTATAAAAATTCTTGTAAAATTTATGAAAACCTTCAGCAATACACTTTCGAATTTTGTGAAATTTAGAAATTTTAAGTAAGCTACCGTTTTCATTTCAAAGCGAATCTCTCTTGCCTTAATTCACTTAATGCAATCTAGAAAAATAGATAAATATTCAGAATAAGTTTATATAATATAAAGGAATACTTTATTTTTAGACGACAAAAATATATTTATTAAATATTTTTAGAGACTTACATACGCTTTAATTCAATTTAGAAATTTTTCATAAAAAATAAATTAATTCTATGATTCTATGAACTTGAAATCGGGGGGGGGGGGATAAGAAAAAAAATATGTCGACCACGTCCAATGGCTTAATTCTCGTTAGATTTTTATTTTACTTAATCGTATATCAACCAGGGCTCGTTTGCTTACTTTTTTCCTTTTCATTGTAGAATCGAATCCTTCCATTTTCCCTGCGTTTCCACCGCTAATTGGCTTGCGATAAAATTGCAATATTATGGCCTCGAGCCTTAGGTAACCTAATTTTTTACTTTCATGATACGTTCAATAGCCTAATCTAGATATAACGATTGTCGTTCATAAATAATCAAGTAATTACGCATATTCGATCATAAAGCACGATTGTGTATTTGGATTGTTAATTAAAAAGCTCGATTAGGAAAATGTTGCTGCAAATCAATAGGAAGAAATACTTGGTAATGTGTCGATATATGTAAAGTATGCAAATATCTGGAAAATCGAGAATATATTTATTAATAGAAATAAATTAACGGATTTATCGATGGATTTATGGATAAACTCGATATCGAGCATATAAATTTTGATATATTTATTTAGCTTTTAGATTTTGTGCATTTTGATGTTGAACGGATGAGTTTTAAAAATTCACCGCTTACAATGAATATTTTCTATTGAAACTGTTTTTATTTTTACTATTTAAGATAAATTTTTCACAACATACTATAAAAATATATATTTCCCTGACATGATACAGCTGAACCACTATTATTCCAGTATTTCGAGTAAAAAATTAATACTTTTATACACTCACTCCATTTTATTTTTATTTACTTGTTTCATACAATAATAGCTCGTCGTTGTTTGTTTCGAGGAATTTAATATGATAAAATTAAAAAATTTGTGTCAACATTTTGAAAAGCTTTATCTAGCATATAATTTCAAGATACACATATATGTATAACAATGAATGTCTTAATTAATATGAATAAGTTTAATAAATAAATTACAAATTATTATAAAGATTATTCATTTGAATTAAAAATTCCTTCATTACATCTATTAATTTAAATTAATAATAATTTTAAATTATAAAATTAGTAATGCGCAGAGAGCTTTCTAATCTAATTGTACTATTTTTTTCTTATAAAAATATATACTATAAATTTCTATGCAATAAGTAAAGTCTTAAAATAACAATTTTTAAATACGAAAGTAACTGCATCTTGTTCAGTAAAATGCTGGACTCAATACCAATGTAAATAACTTTTGAAATTATAATCACGAATTATTTTATAAGCACATTGGTTAGTTAAAATCTAGTATTTATATATACATATATATATATATATATATATATATATATATAGTAAACATGAAAAGTTTTGGAAGATTTTTATATAATACAGAAGCAATTTTTAATGAATAATTAATAATAGTGAGAAGAAATAAGCTTTTTTGAATTTGATAAAGATGTAATAGGAAAAAACTTATTTGAGAAAAATATTAACTATTATTTGTTTGGAAGATAAACGTCTGGAATCTCGAAGATAACGTATAGAAAAGAATTTCATAAATTTAGAAGAAAAATTTGATCCGACAAAGTGAGTAAGTAGTGGGAAAATAGCCGCTCAAAGTCTGGATAATAAAGTAGTATATATGTGCACTTAGATCATTGTCCAGTTTTGTCAGCTATGGGGCTTATCTTTACTCGGGACATATCCACATTCGGATACTTTAATCGAAAATTTATCGCTTTCTCACCTTATCCGCTTTTTTATTAACTTATTCAAATTATTATATTCTGATATTATTGTTAATAAAAGACAAAAAAAAAAAAAAAAAATAAAAGAAAAAAGATTTTTTTTTTTTTTTTTTTTTTTTTTTTGTTCTTTCTTTAATGTTCAATAATATAAGTTCATTAAATTGATGCTAATGCAATAATTGTGTCTAATAATAGCGTAGAGTGGAAAATCAAAATAAAATGGATTGTGTGATAAGTAAAGTTTCTTAGGGTTGGTTTTAAGGGCGAATAATAATGGAGCCGTGTCGATTGTGATTACATAACTACGTGAAATTATGTCATAATTGTGTATTTTTATTAATCGTTTGAAAGTATATTTAAGCTTTATTTAATAACCGTATGAAAAATTAAAACATAATCTAATTACTAAAATTATATGTGAATTTAAATGCAATTTCTCATGATTATTAACTTTTAAGATTGAGCATTGGCTCTTGTGTATGTACACGTTGAAATGATAAGAAAGTAAAAAATCATCGTTAAATTTTCATTACACTTTTTCTTTTTTCCACCGTTTATTAACTACAAATTTCAATTATGAATTTTTAATATAAATTTACAAATTCGTTTATCGTAATTTTAAACATTTCACTAGTAGCTGATTTTTGTGTAAGGCAGAAATCGATTGAATTTTGCATTTGAATTATATTGTTGTTTCATTAGTACAAATTATAATCGGAATAATATATATCTCAATGAAGTCAGTTCTTTTTTTCTTTATTTATTTATTTATTTTTTTTTTTTTATTTTTTTTAATAAAACTACTACTTAATCGTATCAGCTTATTCAAAGTAAGTTTAGAAATAAAAAAAAATTTGTAACGAATAAAAAACATATGATAACAGTTTGGTTTGTGGATTGTATAATTGTTGCTACGATTATACATTTTTCTTTTTGTACACTCAGTAATGATATTTGACAGTTTTAAAACGATAACATATATATTTTTATCGAAGAGAAATTGTTTTTTCCTATATTTATGTGTCACCTAAGATATTAAGGAGACAATAATTTATTATATATAGAAAAATATGTATTATATATATATATATATATATATATTGCATTGTGGCGTACTACTTCACTAATATGATTATATTGACTAATACATAAAGTTACAATATAATTTTAAAATATTACATATTGTTGAAAATGTGTCAAATTGTAAAACAATAATATTTAATAATCAGCATGGAATATAATTCATTTTTAAGAAAAACATGTGTGTGGGTGGGTGTGTGTAACACGGACACATTGGTTTTATATATGAATCAAAATTATCGTACGTAACAATTAATAGTTGATGAATTAGACTTATTATTAATAATAATAATAATAATAATAATAATAATAATAAGTGAAATTCATCTATTATAAATGAATTTAATAAATTTATCGATTAATAACAGAGTAAAAGGGTATTCTTTATATACCGGATGAACAGTGAAAAATGAATGACAGACACTTAACACTTTGATTATATAAACTAACAATTAACGATAAAAAACAAAGATCATCAAAGACAACCCAAGGGTATCACCTACATAGCACAAATGTAAACTTTCATTTCGTTATCAATGCAACCCTTAGCCATGATATACGATTTTTTCCAGCTTCTTTTTCCACAAGACTCATTCATTGAAGAGGTTCGACTGTAGCGAGCAGCAGCTGCAATTCAGCGAATCATCACTTTCGAAGATTTCATTTCATTTCGAAGACAAAGTATCCATTTCAGCATGTCTTTTGAAAGAACGACAACAAGGCCGATATAACATGATCGAACCGATTTATTGT